CATGTAATTGGGAGCACATTTTACATCAGGTCAGTCAGTTTGAGCGTTTGTTGCCTCCAATGTTTGTGCCTGGTTCCTGCTTCCACTTCTCCCGCTGGATGGACCTTTAATGAATTCACCTTCAGATTACCAGATCACACATATAACTGAAAGGACACTTATAAGCACTGGTCAGCGAGAAGTAAGTAACTTATTCGCATGATGACTTTAACTATGAGAAATAACATGAATTGTTATGAAATTTTGATTCCTGCGTAACTTCTCAGAGGAGTATATTTTGGGAGTGCTTTTTCCGTCACTCCCTAAAGTTAAAAAAAAGCTTTTCCAGGTATGATTTATGCAGGAGGTACATTTTAGGGGAGCAACTCCTGATTTTCGCAGAACTCTGTTTACCACTGAATTCTGCATCTGCATTTCTTTCCCCTTTCCTGTAAACCTACTTCTTACTCCGTGCTGTCATGATTTATGCAGTTGGAGTAATAAGACACCTGTTTCACTGCAGTTGGACTGTGTTCAGATTTTGAAAGAACGAGACAGCAGCTCTCACGCAGATTGAATTGAGGAGCTAAACGCATTTAACAGTTTATTTGGCGAGTGCGCGTAATAAATCCAGTGCTGTTGCTCAGCACGCACAGATCGAGTACAAAGTATCTGCAGGAAAAGATGGAGACAGACTTGTCAAGCTTATCTCACTTAGCATAAACTCCTTAGACAAATGCATCTGAATACATAACATAATGCACTTGTCTAAGGAATTGCTATCATGCTGTAATATATACTCACATCCTTTTGTCGCTTAAACTGATAACCCAGCTGGACTAAGGTGTTACTTAGTGTGCTTTTAGTAATCGCTGATTAACATTGATTCATATATTACACCGAACTTTCTTATCAGTAACATGTACATCCTACAAAACTAGTAAAAAGGTGGTGCGCAGTGTAAAATGTAAATGAATCCAGGAACTTTAATTTTAAAAATTGCACATTAAAGATACTCTAAAATGTTGCCTTGCAATTTATTTTGTTTAATATTTTCTGAATAGTGTTTGTTTAAGTTACAGTTCATCCTCTGGGTTGGTTTGCTCGTTAGACATAGGTATTATTATAGATGTAATAACATGTAATAACAATTTTTTACCAAATAAACAAAAACTAATGATACATTCTTTTACATTTTTATTTTATTTCAGTTTTCCAAGTATTTGAAAATCATTTGAATTTAAAAGTTTTCAAAAGTCTTATTTTTATTGTTATATCTGTGAGCTAAGATTTTTTTTTTTTTTACATCTAGTTGTAGTTTTTAGTTTAGTTTTAGGCAACTGTAATATCATTGGAATTAGGTTTTTCTGCATCTACTGCACTGTTTAAGAGCCATAATTGCGTGCATTTGCATGCATGGCAGGAGTAACCTGCACATCTGTGAAGGCACCAGATTCTCTGCGTGTTTGGCAAAAATCTAAAGCCATTCCCATTAAGTTGCGATAAAGTGACAGACCTGAATGAACCGATTATTCTTTGACGTTTAAAAGTTTCACATTTTCACACGTAGTGCTATAATGACCTTATAAATTCAGATTAACATGCCACCGTGTTGATACTCATAACTCTGACTGGGGTTTTTGGTTCTAACACCAAGAAATCCTGGATGTGTCAAATGTTTTTTGCAGTGCATCCCTCAGTTGTTTGCTGTGAATCACACAGTGTAAATAAGCAAGTAAATAAAGCAATTTAAATAAGACAAACACCAGTCACAGAGTTCTTTGAAGAAGTATTAATAAAATCAGCCCACACCAAAAGGAGAAATGGACAGGCATTTCACTCAGCTGTTCTTTTATTGATTTAAACAAACAAACTAAAAGCAGGTTCGCTAAAGAATAGTTGACATGAAACAGCAGTACACACAATCACCACTGACCACCACGGCAGTTGGCTTAGGTGGTCAGTCCCAATATTCTCAATCCCAAAATGTTTTTTCGCCACCACCACCCCACCCTCAGCTCTTCAAATCTCTTTCCCTAATTCAGCTTTAGCGCACAGCAGCACAGTGATCTGTTGTCTGGTTGGATCTTCAGCATCGTTCAACTGTCCTGAAGTTTGGCCTTTTGCACCTGTAGCTGTCGGGGACTTCAGCAGACTATCAGCATGGCTACCGTGGTGAATTGGCAATTTTTGCCAGGGCAGTATCTCAACCTGTGTAGGATCAGCTGAATTACTATTTCAAAGGAACCCTCAGCCTAACCCTGGAAAATGGAGGTGGAAAGATCGCAGTGAATCTGTCCCTAAATTTCTTATGATAACGTACTTTAGACTTCTGGTTAAAATGAATTAGAAGTGTAGGATTATAGATGTGTTGGATTAATTGTTGAGTGGTAATCTTAACTGCCCAACCGGTGAAAACAATCTTCATGTCCTCCTGTGTGAAAAACAGCAAAACCGTTCATCAGATTTAGTGTTAGATGATTAAATAAGGTTCTGGTCACTTTGACACTTTTATCCAGATGAGAGCGATCGTTTCCAGGATGGCAGTGCCTCCAAGCGTTAGGTAAGAGTGGTCACTGAGTTATTTACAGAGCATGAAATGGTCTGTTAACAAATCTCAACCCACTTTAACACTTATGGGACATTTTTTAAAAATAATTAACATCCAGTTAAACAGTTCTCCCCACCGACTTCATTAAGACGCCAATAAAAGGAATATCTTTTGAATGAACGGTGATAAATTTCTCCAGCACAATTCCAAATAATCCTTCTCAAAACACACTGAAGCTGTTCTGATAGCTCAGCGCTTCATTAAGACACTTTATGCTGTCATATAATTTTCTGGACATTTTCCACATTTCAAAGCGGTGTCAACATCAAAACTATTAGTTGAAATATAGTTTTTTTTTTAAATACATAAAACTGCTTAGACTGCATAAAGATCACGTTAAAACAAAAATGTTTAAGGTATTTGATTCTTCAAATACCTGTTCACTTTTTTTACAACAGATTGTTACTTCACGTGGTTTCCCACACACCCTGAGCACAAGTTGGCTGCTTTTCCTGCAATCTGTGGCCCAACCCATCCCTAACCATGTCATTTGGGATTGCCAGCTCTCCAGCACTCTGCTTCTTGGTAAAATAGCTCTTCCAGAAACTCAAGTTGTGCACTGTTGAAGAATAATGTTCCCACAAAGCAATTTTTTTCTACAAACTTTGTGGGATGTTACATTCAGGAAATTGCTTTCAATGGCCTTGAGTTCTGAATAAATCAAGTGTCTTTAGCAAAGCGTCATGGGAGCCCATTTTGATCTTAAGTGGGCCTGAACATTGAAACTTTCTTTTCTTTATCAAGTTTAACTACGCATTTAATCCTTCAGATATCTTAATGTAAGACAAATAAGTGCAATGGTATGTCTCAGTTTTTCCACATAAAGAAATTCTGCTTGACTCAATGAAAGAAATCTGTCATCATGACTCTCTGAGCTTAAATTGTAAGCAATACATCTGTAGTTCTGGTTGGTATAGTGTGGTAATGCCCAGGGGAGTGGTCTGTATCAGTATCAGTAGCAATGGCTGTAAAACCTGTAAAAATACAGTAAAACGTCCAAAATAAATGCCCTCCTTAATGTTTTCCTAAGAATGGGCCAGTGGCCCAGACTGGAGTCTTTCCGGGTCGATTCTGATGAACGCACAAGACTTAATTGACATTAAGTGACATGTTGAAGTGAGCAAAAATGTGCTTGTTTAGCATGTAGTTAATACACATGTGGACCTTACAAAAGACTCCAGCTAATGGAAAACTGTTCCAGGGTAAGGCACTGTGAAGATTTATTTATTGTTTTTGTGTTTCCATGGGTGCTTTTTGTGTCTTGATATCTTCAGTATTGTTCTGTAAAAAAATTACAAAAACATAAAGGAAATAAAGTCGAATGAGTAGATCTCTCCAAGCCTTTGATGAGTACTCTCTAAATCTGGGAAGATGGCAAAGTGAAAAGCTGAAACAGAGGCAAACAAAACTTTCTGCAGATGTATTCAAATTTAAACGGAACCTATTATGTTTTGCTGGAACTTTCTGTCATTAATAATAATAATAATAATACTATTTCAGAGACAGAAGCTCATAATGAACATGCTCAGTTTTTCAAACTACAAGGTGCAAGTAAGCACGCCAACATTTTTTTCCCCATCTCTATGCATATGATGTCAGTGAGAATGGTTATCATCCCTAATATAGTCATCTTAGCCACACCTATCTGCCACTTAAGCCTTCTGTTTGCAAGGGGTAGCCAATCAGAAGAAAGTTAGCCACTGTCCAAACTGGTAAGCTGAGGAGCTACACCAAGGCCCGGTATTAGTAAATCATCCAAAGCTACTCTTTCAGATACCAAGAATAAAAGTATAGAGCTGGAAATGAGTGTAATAAATCACCTATAACACCCATCTTCCTGATTTGGGGCGATGTATAATATAACTCCAGGACTCATAAATCTGCAACAGCAATGTGTTGAGCTGAATGTTACTCTGGATGTCTGAAAGTTCACTTAGTTTTCTTAGAAAGAAACCGTATCCCCAACCCTGTAAACACACACACAGAGGGAACAGCAGCAGTTCTTGCTTGTGAGGAAGACAGGTTATTGAGGGTTGGGTGAAGGGTGGCTGAGCTGGCTTCCCGCTGCAGAGTTTGCAGAGTAACACCAATCAGATGGCAATAAATCTTAAACATTGATCCCACAGAGATACAGAGGTAGCTTTGCAAAACGTGGGATTTCAGCAGAGGTTCTTCTGTAACATGCTCATGCACAGGAGAAACATTAAAATGACAAAATAAAGCAAACAATCGAAACTGCATCATGTGCATGCGGCACATCTGAAATCTTTAAAAAAGACACTGAACAAGCTGAGTCTAGCTTCACCACCATCTCCGCCTTCTCTCTCTCTCTGTCTCACTTCAGTTCACTCCCTCACTATCTATATAAAGTCAGTTTGACTGAGTATCTTCTGCTGCGTGTGCACTCAGCACCAGCCATCATTCTCACACACACTCACTCTCACACACACAAACTCCCAGTATGCAGCTGCTCGAACTCCTGAAACGCTTTGCATGAGGTGGCCGTTTCTCTGGAATCTTATGATCCTACATATTGAGGTAAGCACACAGGGGCCGGTCAGTACCATGAATCTTATGGACCCAGAGGGACTCTAAGTGGTAATAAAATGGTATCACTGTGGATGGATAAAGCTTAGCTGCTGCAGAAGCACTGCTGGGACTTAATGCACAGGATAGAACAACTTCCTTCTGTCAGCTGGTCCATGATCAGTCTGTGCTGTAGTCTTATATATGTTTACGTTGAATAACTGCTTTGCTGTGATCAGTGTTTAGATGTTCTTTGGAGTAGTGTAGATAAGTATGTTCTTTAAAGAACTACAGTTACACGGTTACTCACATGCACCTTTGGATATTTGTTCTATTTTACTGACTGTTTTACAAATCTATGAGATTGTATATACAAACCAAATATTTAAGGTAATTTTATGCTGTTAAAGGATGTGCTTCATAAATACTCCTGATTGGAATGCATTTAATTCAGTAAATGGACTGCCCCCTTGTGTAGTCCTAGCAGCTGTAAAAGTCTTCGGAGCCCAAGTGCTTTTTGCAGTCATAGTGTGACAATTTATTGCTCTAATTTTGGATCCAATCCAGCGGACCTGCTGACTACAGCACCACAGTCAACGAACTTCAGAGGATGAGAGCTTCTTTTGTTTTCCTTTTCTGGCTTACAGACCAGTAATGCAAAATGAATAGCAAGTGGCAGACTTATCAAATCCCAGTGAAAATACTACCTTCTTAAATAATTTCCTAAACTTCCCAGAAAGTGTCTGACATATCTGTTGGTTTTTTAGTTCCACCGCTGTTCCACACCAGCACTGTAACTTTTGATCAACATCACCTAAAGGGAATAAACCAAATCATAATTCTCTAACTTTCCATCCAGTGCTGGAAACCCCCCTTTTTTGGGGGTCATCACTAACTAAAGGCTTCTGTTATACATATGTGTACAGATGATGTATGAAACAACAACAACTGCACTGCCACACCTCAGGGCTTTGTTTCTTTGTCATTGATCCTTGGCGCTGACAGCTATTTTTTTTAAAGGAAGTGAGCCCTTTGCTCCTCTTTACTCATTTGAAACTAACTGCTGAATTACACATAAAAATCTGTCTGTGGTCCCGTGTAGTGTCCCCTCCTTCAGAGTGTGAGGGGGACGGGCTCCCCAGTGGTTACGGCTCTAGGGACTCCATCCTCAGAGCCAGCACAGAGAGGGACTGGAAAAGACGAAAACGGGGGCAACTAGGGCGGCTTAACAGGTGAGCACCACTGTTATGATCGCATCTGTTTTAGCTATTCATGACATGGATCGCTTATCTTTTATAGATACTCATGCAACATCTGTTCAGTTAAAGGCAGGTCACAGAGCAGGCTTTATGTGCTGGATGTTGCATTCAATGTGTGTCAGCAGAGTGGTGATGACTGAGTCCATTTAATGCCTGCTGTGGACCTAATAGTCTGGCTGCTGCAGGCGTGTGGGCAGCCTGGGCTGCTGTCAGGCTCCGTAGTCAGTGTGTAACCAGTCTACTTGTGTGGTTGCTGATATTTCAGCTGCAGCAACTCCAGCGCTGAGGCTGGCAGAGAGAAGCAGCAGCCAACGTTTGGACTGAGTGGAGGTGCAGCCATGCGCTGCTCCACCCTGCTCGCCATCTTGACGGGGGTTCTTCTTTACTTGGTGCTGGGAGCTGTGGTGTTCCGTGCCCTGGAGGCTCCGCAGGAGGAGGGCGTGCACATGAAGCTGCAGGACACACGCCGGGACTTCCTGCTGAACTTCTCCTGTGTCGACTCAGACAAGCTGGAGGTTCTTATAGAGGTACAGAGAGGAGCCATTCACTATCTGGCTTTTATTTCGAAAATGTAAAAATTGTTTCTGTTTCTCTTTTACAATCTCCATCAGGTACAGCGTCATATTGATTGCTACGATACAATACTAAACAATAAGACACGAAACGATACAATACGATACGATACGATACTATATGACACGATATTACCTGATATGATACTGCAACTAACTAAATCGAACAGCATACAGCAAACTTTGAGTTACTGAAACTACACATTTTGCATTCAAAAAGTGACTCTAGCTTTGCCCAGCTGCTGCTTTCTGTTAATCATATATTAACAAACTCCAAACAAGTGTCATGATGACCTCTGATGCCGACTGCCTCTCTAGCTAAAAATACACTTTTGCTGAGTGCGTGACACATACCTGCTTCATGTTTTATACGCACTGGCTGAGTTTGTGGATCCTTAGGATGATCATTCAGATGTGTAACGTGTTCAGTGGAGCTTTGCTGGTGACACAGTGCAGCAGCACAGCACGACGACTATGAGCCAGATAACAGGTGTGGTCAGAGCAGCTATGCAAGGTTCCTTTCATGAGTGTAACTGCGTGACAGCTGATCCACAGATGGGTCGAGCGTTGGCAACCTAGCTGTGATCCTGAGACGCTTGTCCTCACTCTAGAATGAACATTGTAAATTACTGTTTACGCTTGCAAAGCGATCTACGCATGAACTCGGCGACATTTGGGAAAAGGTTAAAGGGATCAAAGGACACTGAAGCACGCAAGCAGGTCTTGTTGTATTTTGTGTTTATTTAGAGGAAGCACATGAGCGATTAGGTGTCTTTTTTTAAAATATCCAAATGAATAGGTGAGCACAGTAAGAAGTCCAAGCTGAAACACTTTCTTGTTTCTCTACTTGTAAAAAGAGCATTTGACAATTTGCTTGATTAAAATCATGTAGATACTAATATATTGTGCTTTTAAAAAAATGCACTCATAATATGCAGCCAGTGATGTGATGATAGCGTCCGTTTGGTTCCATCAGAAAAAGAAAGAAAGGATTGGGATGGTTTGGGTGAACTTTGCACCTCAGTGCACTTATAGAAGTGGGGACACAATGCACTTAATGTCGGCTTACACGAAAACTGCTATTGAGCCACTGTGGATCATGTGTCACCGAACTGATGTTACATTCAGATGTTTCATCTTCTAGTTGCAGTTTCCTCCTCAAGCATCTGTCACATAGCACACCATACTTTATCAAAGATCATGCTATATTTTCTACCAGCAGATATTGATGTGGTTGATCATGTGACATTTATTTTATTGAAGAATTTATTAAACAAAAGTATCATTGCCTTGATGTAGGCATGTTGTGTAATTGTCTAATGTTATTTTTGGACACTGAAAGAATTTTCCGGAGGTCTTCAATTCAGGCAAAATTTGTGCAGCTACTTTCTGATTCGTCACTGTAAATGTTTATCTGAAAACCTTAGGGAGCTCTTCAGATCTTGGCAAGATGACACCACCGTACCAGATAGAGCAGCAGACTCGAGATGTCAGATTTAAATAAGAGCTTCAGCTGTCCCTCCGTATAGACGTTCTTATCACTGCCAACCCCAGATTCTAAATTTATGGATTTGAAAGGCTAATAAATAATGAGGTGTGCTTGGTGAACTTTCTCCACGTGACTTTTTTTCACATGGTCTGGCTATCAGTGCAGGGTCTCCTTTTGTATATCAGTATAAGCTGAGCTTAGATAAGCGAAATTACAACTTTTACAGCTGCCAGTTTGTACGCTGAAATTAAATAAATATAAGAATATAGATAAATATTAAATCTTTCAAGCAATTCATGAAGTCAGTGTGACAACATCCCCTGGCTCAATTTCCTTCTTTATAAAGTTTTGCTGGCTATCTAAACAATCATGTGACATTGACAAATGATTGTCAATAATAAGCAGATTAATTAATACTTCTATATCACATACATTTGATAGCATGTAAAGTATGAACACCATTGTGTTTTCATAGTTGCTGTTTGCATGTATGTTGTGTATTTCACTACATCTGTGAGGGAATTGTGTCATGAAAACCTGAACCTCTCACTTATGGTTAGCATTCCCAGGACGTTTCTTGAACACAGTTACTAAGGATTATATTTCTGGCTCCAAATCATCCCTTTCTGCGGTACACAGAGTACACAGGCTGAGACTGAGGTGCGCATGACTAACCTCATAATTTGCCTCTCGCTTTTAATGTAACTTGAGGAGTAAAAGTAACCTAATTATCGTATGCTAAACCCTCTGGACACAAAACCTCACTGCAGTGTCTTCCTGTATCCACTAGAATGCAGGTAAATTCATGCAAAGTCAGAGCTCACTGATACCCGAACAGTTACAGCACATATCTTGTAATTACAGTGTCACTGATTTGATTCCTACTTCAAACCTACTCTTTTAGTCAGTTGTCACTGCACAAATAGAATTTGAAAGGGTGAGAAGTTCAGTCAGTTTCTGCTAATCTGTTGGGACAGACGTACTTGGCAGTAGACATTTCTACAATCTTCAATCTAAACTTTTAATTGATTGGTTTTAATGATTTCTGCAGAGGCCAAGTTAATTCATAACCTCATCATGCTTAGGTTTATGTTCCGATAATTTAATCAGGGAATTTGATTCTGTGCTGTAAGCGGTTCGATATGCCCGGGACAGAATGGAGCCGTCACAGCTGCTCATCGCCGCTAACTTCCTGCTTTTGATCATGACAGTGCATTTTGTACCCCGTAGCAGGGATGGGTTCATTCATTCGTGTGTTTGTTAATGCCTCTTTTCCAGTGAAACATTAATTATTGGAGTGTTTCATCAACTAAGTACTAACCTTCCCCCCACTGTCCCTTCCCAGGAGGTGGTGGAGGCCACTGGAGCAGGTGTGGATCCCATAGGCAACGCTACATTTGTCAGCAAATGGGATCTGGCCAGTGCCTTTTTTTTCTCAGGGACCATTATCACAACCATCGGTTGGTGTCCAGCTAAAAGTCCTTGTTCATTAAATTTAATTGCATGATGGGACTCATTAATTACATCTGAAGTCTTTAAACAACTGCTCTTCTACCTCTGATCCCACATGTGCAGGTTTTGGAAACATTTCTCCCAAAACAGAAGGAGGGCAGCTGTTCTGCATCTTCTATGCCCTGGTGGGAATCCCAATGTTTGGTATCCTGCTCGCTGGAGTGGGAGACCATCTGGGTACTGGGCTGAGGAAAACTGTGGCCAAGATAGAGAAGCTCTTCCTGGTCAGAGCTTCAAAAAATATTTAAAATGTCTTCTTTACTGCCACTGTAAACATACTTATCCATAGATTTTATAAATAATAGATGGATCTAACATTTGGGTCTGAAGAGTGAAGCCAATGCCTTACATCATCTAAAGCCTACACCTGTATTTGAAAAGAAGAAATTGGTCTCAATTGCATAGAAGCGTTTGGTTCCCTTCATCCAAAACATTTATGGCCTCAGTTGATGGTATCAAGTCTTCTCAGACATAACAAGATTTTTATTTTGTATATTTGGGGTCCAATCAGTGTCAGAAATGTGATAAAATAGGATAAGATTCAGAGTCGGCATAGCTTGGCAGGCTGGTTTCTCAGTCAGACCCAAACCTCGTTCATGACGTCTGGTTTCAAAACGCTAAAGAGGAGATGGCGAAAAGACTGAACTCAAGGCTTAAAAAATGACTTCACAAAGAAATGAGTGACATCACGTCACCACGTCCATCTTTTATATACAGGCTATATATTCATGGAACTAATTGGTTATCCTTTTCTGACAGAAATGGCGAGTTAGTCCCACCATCGTGCGTGTGATCTCAGCTGTCCTGTCCATCCTGTTGGGTTGCGTGCTCTTTGTTGCGCTGCCAATCTTCATTTTTCAAGAGGTGGAGGAGTGGACCCTGCTGGAATCAGCCTACTTCGTGGTTATCACCTTGACCACAGTGGGGTTTGGAGACTATGTTGCAGGTATATAATCAACCACCCACGCTGGTTTGCAGTGGTGCACACAGAATAGGAAAGTGGAAATGGAAAAAGGCCATCTGTCTCAGTATTATTTTAGTTCAAGCGGTGGCCCTTTATCATTCTAGCCAGTTACAAGAAATGGCTTTGGTCTCTGTTGATAGTTCCATTCTTTATAAGAGCTTGAAGGGAGGTGATCCCCACCACCCCCTCACCCCCACCCAATCCATGTGTTTTGATACTGTCAAAGTTTTTAAATGGCTCCTTCTGCTTGTTCTGACATATTTGATTATTATAAAACTTTATTACTGATAAGCTGACATTTGAAACTTTGATGCTTTTATAGGCGGACTTTATTTCAGTACCGGATAATCAGCTGTGCTATTTATTCGAGAGCAGTTCGTCATGTAAATTGCGCAATAATATGTAACTAAGGCTTTCGACAGCTGGAGGAACAAAACACCAAAAAATACAGCATGAGAGAGGCGGCAGTAGGGATAGGCTCCAGCCCCCTCCATGACCCTAAACTAGATAAGTGGGTGGGTGGATCTGGTGTCAGGTTTTTCTTCAGACAGTCAGTGCTCACCCTTACTTTATGCAGAGAGGACAGGTTTATTTCACCCCTGAGGTCACATCAGACCACCAGTATCTCCCCAATAATTAGTCTGCAGGATTTTTTTGTGCTTGTTTTTGTTTTTATTTTTATTAAGATGAGATCCTTTCCACTCTCCACACCCTGTGCACCACCACGGATGCCCATAGCCTGCCACTAGTGTACATCCTGCTTTATTAGGCTCTATAAAAGTGATGCAGCTGAAACACAATCATAGCTTCCAGATCAGTATAGCTTATATCATTTACTTTTTCATACTTTTCTTTTTCGTTGAAGGTATTGATCTGTTGATAAGTAGGAGCTATGACTTAATTAGTCATCCATAAATATAGCTGTCAGTCGTGGTGCATTAAGTTCACTTAGCGCGGACAATGTCGTAAATTATTTATGATGATTTTCTTCACAGATGAATTATTGATTAGCTAGTCTGCTATCTTAACAGTTTATTTACTCCATGGAAATGGATGGCTTCATGGGCGGATGTGTGAATGCGCTGGCCCCTTTTTACCTCCTGCTTCTGTATAATGTGTCTTTGTGTCAAAGGGGATTCAGGAAAGGAAGGCAGCGACCACTGGTACAAACCCTTGGTGTGGTTCTGGATCTTGTTGGGGCTTGCATACTTTGCATCTATCCTCACAATGATTGGTAACTGGCTCCGGGTTCTTTCAAAGAAGACCAGGGCTGAGGTACTCCTGTTCTTTTATGCCTGTTTTATCACCTGCTGTCTCCACTACTTCCTCTCCATCACCTCTGCTTTCATCCTTTTCCTTTCAGATGGAGGAGTTGCGAGCCCACGCCACTGACTGGACTCAGAACATCCAAAATATGTCGGTGGACTTTCGCATGCCAGGAAAAATCGATGACCCCTTTAAACGGCGTAGGAGAAAGCGCCGCCACGGCCCTCGAAGCCATGGTCACAGTGTATCAGCTAACGGGGTGCCTGAGGGGCAAGAAGAGCAGCGTGAGAGTCAGGAAGAGTCTGGGTCATATTCGTCTTCATCATCGTCCTCCTCTAATGAGTCAGGGTCTGGATCGGAGACAGATTCTCAGGCCACTCAGACGGAGCGAGTCCCAGAAGAAAAGCCTGCAGAACCCAAACAGGAGGAGGCTCCTCCTGACCCCCACCTGTCCCAGCCTCTGGACTACTTTGGTGAAAACCTTGCATTTATTGACGAGTCCTCGGATACTCAGAGCGGCAAACTACATTTGGATCCTCTGCTAAATCCAACAAAGCCCAATCCCCGTCAGCCAAAAAGGAGACGCCACAGAAGGCCAGTTCCTCAGAGGAACCACAAAAACAACAGCCCCAACAGCACTAACAAGAAGGAACCCAATAGAAACCCCAGATCCGTTCCAGATTTGCCACCCAAGCCTTGTGAATGATAGCAAATGTATTGAGTCTCGTTTGACAGAGGAGTTTTAATTGTAGAATATATAGTGCCTGCATACAGACATTCAAGATAAAAACAAGATGTCGAAGCCTTAGCCACGTGTGGTTTTGCATTTAATGTTCTTAGCATGTGAGTGTTTATGCCTCCCTTAAAGGTGATGAAGAGATTTTCATGCCAGTGTTCCCTTTACTTGCTGAGGAGTTACTGCTCTCTAGTGGGCCAGGACTGAAGTGCAGTACGACTCTGTGAACAATCTTTATAGTAGTCACGATAAACTTTATACACCAGTGTGCTGAAGAGAGGCTTCTCTGATCTGTGACAGTAACTACTGAATCCCTCCAACAAATAAACAGGTACTCGAGATCCTCTTGTACATTTTTGGTATGTATTGAAATCTTTTTTAAATCCTGTAAACTGCATTATATTTAGATTTTCATGGCCAAATGCATTGAATTCTATTGCACTACATACATCTGCCTAATAAAGTTGTTTTTAATAAAACAAGAAATGAATTGAGCATTTTATTACCAATAGGCAAATATAGTAATCATCTTATTTATATAAAAATAATTATTTTCATTTTAACTGTGGGCCCACTATAATAAAACCCCAAATCTCTATAGTAGATAGTGACAAACAGAGGCTTTTCTGTCATTAGTTTGTTTATCTCTACTTAATTCCTTTTTGTAGTAGGAATGGCAAGGAGGGGTGGAGTATTTACCAACAGGAAAAGGTGCAACACATGGAAATAAATTTAAAAGTTCAATTTTCTTTCTTCTTCACATTTTTCAAAGATTTCCAGCATCATCCCCCATCTCTCACACTTCTGTTCATTCCTGTTTCTGAATTTAAATCCATTGAGCTACTTTGACCGTTCTGTGTAGAATTTGTATGGGGGACATACATGTTAGGTTAACTGTTGATGCTGTGGGTGTGAATGCTTGTGTGTCTCCTCGTGTTAGCTCTATGATGAACTAGTGACCTGTCCAGGGTATACCTTACCTTTTGCCCTATGACAGGTAGGCTCCAGCCCCCCTGCAAACCTAAACTGGATAAGCAGCTAAGAAACTGGATGAATGGGTTCATTTCAGTTCATTCTCCCTGGAAACGCAGGGAGTATGTAAACAGCTCAGTTTGTTTGTCTGGTTGTTTGCCTGTTTGTTAGCAGTCTAGTGTCCACAGTTTACCAGATATCATTTCCAATTTCTGTGTGATGGTAGATACAGGAAACAGCTCAAGGTGATTTCATTTTGGTGAAAATTCAGTCAATGTGAAATTCAGTAAAAACTTTATAATACCCACGATTTTTACGGATGGTCTTCAACCTTCTTCACAATATACAAGGCCTTGTATGAGGGACACGAGTAACTAGGCTGGCTAAGCATTTGACCTTGACCTTCATGGTTGGCGCCCAAGGTCATAGTTGACCTTGAAATAAAGTAATTCAATAAACATATTAAGTAATATATCATATAAAAGGACATAGAGATTACTGTACAAAACACTTTTTATTTATTCATCATTCATCATTATTTATTTATGACATCACAATGATGCAAGAACGGGCTAATGTATATGTTTGGTAATTGAGGACCAATGGTTTAAAAAAAAACACTGGTAAAATGAAGATGCTTTTAAAAATCACTTTCTAATTTGAGGGGATGATTTGAGAATACTTTATTCTTCCTCAACTGAACAGATGCTTAGTTTAGAGTCAAAAATAATCACATTTGAAGTAAAAGTTTATATTTAGCGTGCAGCCATATTGGCAGAAAACATGGCATATAGCTACAAACAGCAATAAGAAGAAAAAGTATCACTCTAAGCACGATAAAGTAACTCGAGCATTGACTTTAATGCATTCTATAGGCCTGGTTAGGCTGGTGGAGACAAAAGCAGGCATACGCTGTCAGACTTGCATATCACACATAATGCAGTGTATAAATAGCATTATAGCATGGACCTTTGAGTTGTCAGTCTATCCTTTTAAGAATGTGCTGTGTAGCTGCTCATTTGACTCGTGTAAATGATAGTCTGTTTGAAATTCTAGCTTGTTTCAACCTGAAAATGGCACCAAGGACAAACACAGTGCAGCAGTACAGTGTGACTGCTGCTCTTTTGTTCTATGTATCCTTTTTTTTAAAGGAAAGCCGGTGTACCTTAATGTTACAAAATATCAGATACACAAAAGTTGAGACTGTCACTAATGTAGATACACACCCCTCCTCCTCCTCAGCTTGTTTCTCTCTAAACACGGCCAGCAGGTGGCGCAAACCTTCAATGTCAAAGATGCAACTGTACTTCACACATCTAATCTGTAACTGAAAACTGAAATTTATCCCTCTGTGTGCGCTTGTTTGTGACCACCTAGATGCCACACTTGCAGCCTGCAGTCATGTCTGCGTGGTGAGTAAGCAGAGCGCAGAAAACAACGGAGTGGTCGACCGGCCTCTGGAAATCTGACACTTTCCCCGCAGGATGTCTAAAAAGAAAAGGCACTGTTCTGGCATTGCAATCAGGAAGTCAGGAGACAGCGATGATGTGCAGTGGCAGTGGGTGACCTTTAACTGGAGGACACTTGCTCAGCTGCTATAACGTCATCAGCACCGCTGCTGCAGTTTCCCCGAGCTGCCACCAGGGGTCGAGTGGTGGCCACATGGGTGGGCTAAAGCACTACTGGCCTGGATTTAAAGAATAATTCCACTCTAAATTAAAATCGAAATAAATAAATATTTTATAGGATTGTAAATATGTAAGCTTTTCTGTATTCAGGTTTTTAAAAAAAGAAGAGACAGACTGTAGTGTAGTGTCAGTTAGAGACATATCCCCAAAGCTGCCCCATAACGAGGACACACTGAAGCTCTAGTCACGGTCCGATACAGGTCATTTCAAACAAAACTGACAGAGTTAGTCAGCACTCACATGACCATCCTGAACATATAATCAAATCAGCCTTCTCTGATCTCACCCCACATTTGCGCACATTGACCTTGCTATTCATAACCACTACAACATGGCATGTGCACAGCAGAGCAGCATAAAACATCTGTGAAGAGAATGTTCCCCCTTGCATGTTCTTGCATTTTTTGGTGATGGCTGAATCTGTATGACCAGCTTTTCTTTTCTTTTTTTTTTTTTAAGTTTTAAGGTGGATCTAAGTGCACTAAATGAGTTCAGCCCCACTCTGGAATCAGCCTGCTACAGCCTGTAGTCTAATAATAAGCGTCTGTAGTATAGGTGGAGACTGTTTTCAGTCAGTCGTGCTGGCTATGACTCACTAATGCAGTGCCCAGTGCCTTTTGTGGATACAGAAAGAAAAAAAGAGCTTCTTGTTAGAATTTATGTAGCCTATCAGCTGACACCTGTCTCAGGTCATGACCCCCTATGAGGAGCACCCGCAGGGACCCCATCTGGCATTCACTGTGTTTTTTTCTATTTCTTTTTTAGGTTTCTGATTCCCGCACATCCACACTCAATGCGCAGTCACGTGTTTAGACCTATATTATTACGCTAAACACAATCGTACAAAACGCTTTAAACAGATTTGTGCGCAAATCTAACGAACATAGCATGACGGGTTTCGCCTCCAACCGGATAATGCAGAGTCTGCAGCAGTGTGATGCAGTCCCGCAGAAGAATTGCAGTCTCTGCAGCACAGGCTGAATGACCTTGCTTCAAGGTCGCAGTGACACCGCCGTCAGTTTTCCCTGTGAGGCGCGCGCCACGAAAATCCTGCCCGCGAGCGCGCCGGATCTATGTAACCACAGCGAGCCTGCTGTCCCGCACCTCGGACACAGCGCTCACTGCTTCAGTTGAAACCAACGTATACTGGGCTATAATTAGAGCCGGATCACGCCGGGCAGCTTTGGGGTGGAGATATCTAAATAATAGGCTACTATGGTTACTCCGATTTCTTTGTCTTTCTTGATTTCCTCCCCCTCCTCTCCACTTTCACCACACCAGTAGAAAAGCTTTTCAACTCTTTCGTGACAACTCCTCTGCTTTCTTAATGCCAGCTGTTGCCAGGCGTGTTGGGGAGCGCAGGGGGCAGCAGACTATTTCTAGAAGCAGGAGGCTTCTAAGTTGACAAAAGAAAATCGTTTGTTTTCTTTGCTGTATAATAAAATTGCCAAATAAAGTGAACCTTGGTAGAGCAGGCTTACACAAAAGCCCATACAGGATAACACAGGGGGCGAACTTTGTATTCCAAGCAAGTATTTTTCTTTTCTTTCCTTTTTTTTTAAATTCAGACTACTATCCTTTAATTATTTTACTTTCTCAACCCTTGGCACAGCTCTCCTCATCTCTTCTTCCTTGGCTCATGTCCAGATGCTGTGCAGCGGCGGAGTGAGACGGGTCAGCGTCACAAGACCAAAAGCATGACTACATTTTCCACAGAGGTGTCCTGGAAAGGACATGCAGCCTCATTTTGTGCCCTATAGCTAATGTGATAATTATAATAATAAAGCATGTTGCAGAAAGCCATTTTCGTTATGGTGTTTTAAGCATAAAGGCTTTCTGAATATAGGCCACAAAACGTATAATAATACAACAGACCCGTGTTTTTAATCTCACAGCAAATATGAAAGCCGTGGGGTTTTTTTCTTTAGTGTGGAAGGGTTCACTGCTATAAAAAGCACTCAATGGTCTGAAATCAGCACTTTGAAGCAGCTCGTCTAAATGAATGAATACACCTTGACTGCACGCGAATTAACGTGGAGTGGGTCATATTTTTTTCACGAGTTGCAGGCCCTTATTAAAATGCGGATGACGCGGGTTGTAGGTGCGTGCAGACGTAACGGAGACCCAGTGGACGCAAATTGTGGCAGAGGGAGGAGAGCAGGCACGAGATCCAGGCTACGTCACTGAGTTCCGTCAAATGAGCGGAAGAAAGCCAGAGGTGTGCCGGAAGTTGAACTGTTAAAATAAAAGCAGCATTTAGAGTTCGTTTTAAGAATATCAGCGTCTCTATCTTTTTTAAAATGTGTTACGGATTTGACGGAAAGGAGGGAGACTTTTGTACTGGATTATTTTTTATTTTTGGTCATCTTCCCGCTTGGTAAATGTTTGAAAGGTTTAATATGTCGACGGAGTTTTGCTGTGAAATACTCTTACCGGATGTGGATGCTGTTTTTGTTGGAGACTTGACGCTAAGGTTCAGCTACAACCTCAGTTGTGGAAGGCGAAGACGGGAATTTTTTAACAGCAGTGGACGGAGCCGAACAGCCGGGCGAAGACATTGTGTCGCCGGTTGTTGTTATCTCCCTTTTTACATGCTAACATCGTGATGCGATGTGAGAAACGTCGCGAGGCTCTTACGGCGCCATTAATCCAGTTCAACTGCCAGTGGACTTGCAATCCGCAAAGACTTGACTGACCTCAAATATTTAAGAACAAAAACGACCCCGTGATGTTTTTACATTTCCTAGTAAGTATCTTGTCTTAGCCTACACTTCCGAGGTTGAGCACACATGGGGTGTTTTGCCCATTATTAGTGTTTTTTGGACGTGGCAGCTGTCTTGACGACAGCCTGATGTGCATGCACGATTTGCCCGAAAGAGCTCTAAGTTCGCCTGACCACGTTAATGGGGATATGGGACACGAGCCGGAAAATAGTTAATAGCCTACACTGTGGGATAATTTGCAGTGCACGCCATATTTCAAGCTTATAACACATGTATACCTTGGGACTAATTCATGCTTCAATAAATGCTAGAGGAGTCGTTGGTGGTTAGTACTCTAGTCACCAGTAAGCCACACTCGTTAATGTAGAAAATAAAGACCAACATGCAGATGATAAGTGTTTTCTTCTGTTTTTCTTTCTTGCATGCTGTTACTTAAACAGCAAGTTCTCATGTGCAGAATGCCCCTCCGGCACTTCTTCTTCAGTTGTTCACACTTTAACTTCTCTTCTGTGTATTTTAATCTCCCGAGTTATATTTCTCTCGTTTTTAACACACCGAACTATGTAAGTTGTCGAGCCTCCTGGGCCAGGATTGAGATCCCTGATCTTAAGGCATAATCCACTTCGGCAATTAACCTTTCACCGGTCCGAGATCAGTAAGGCAAGGTCACCCCTGGGTGCTGTTCTCCCTGTCTCCACAGTGCGCCGCATTTAAAACCCTTAAACTGAGTTTAGTGTCGCGTCTGTGAATGTGATGCCGTGTCACTGACGGAGACCTTGCCCCTGACAAAACCACGATAAGAAAGCTTTAAACGGTTGAAGACATAAGGAGCTTGTCGAGGTGTGATATTTGACTTTTTGCTTATGTAATAGAAAGTGTACTTGGAAATCCATTTATGACAAGGAGCTGTTTGGGTGCAACAGTCTACTGGGATTAGAGTCTGAAACTGAAACGACTTATAAAAATGAAATTGTCAGCTGTTTTAACCTCCAGACAAAATGGGAAAAGCATCTCAGTTTGTTTTCATATATAAGAGCCTTGCACACTTTTAAAGTTGCTTAAAATAGGTGTCCTTTTTTGGGATATGGCATTTTTTTAACAGTCATATTTAGACTTTAACAACAAGCTGGAATACTATTCCATTTGGGGTTTTTGTGTTTGTTTTTAAGCCTAAGTAATTTAATTATTTACATAGCTTTATCACCAAACTTAAGTTTATAACTTTGTATGACTGAAAGACAAGGTGTTGGCTTTTCTCTGTCTGCCCTTCAAGCATTCCTGTGACTGTGACCTTTGGAGTGTGTCACGCAGTGTAAAGGGGGAGGGTATGAGCAGTGTGTGTAAAAATCTGGATAGATAGGCTGGGTTATGTATTTTTGGAAAGACAGTTGGTTTTAGGTGTATCCATACGCCTCATTAGAGAAGAAACAAAAACTGTTGGCAGAGCACATGCTTCCTCTGGATCATGTGAAGATTAGCTCCACAGTTATTGTTAGGAGCCTGCCAATCATTTGCTGCGAGTTTGCATACATTATGGTCATTATGAGGCCGGACGCGGTGTCCTTGTGGGGATTTGACCATTCAAAGCACAAAGGGCAAACATGAAAAGCAAACTCTTTGGCTTGGCTGCAAGTTTTGGGAATACTCTCAGAAGCGTTTGCTTGCTTCGCAGGTGTCCCGGTAACTGCAGACTTCAGCCCACAGCAATATCATTTTACTGAGCTGTCTTCTGGAGTGAGACATACACAGGCTTCAAGCTCCAGGTCACCAAACAGGTAAGCTGTTCCTACGTCACCTTTTATGTTGATGAAATGTTACACCGTTATGCTGTGTTTCAATTGGGATTATGTGTTAACAAGTGCCTCTTTTTCCTCACAATTCAGTCATTATAAAGGTAGACTTTGTGGTAGACTTTCAGCTGACGCCTTTAGGACATGCACAGATATGAGCAAGTTTGTAGAAGGATTGAGGCTGAGTAAAAACAACAGAGAATAATGTTACAGTGCCACAACCGTATTTTTCATTACTTATATATGTTACCCGTATATTATGATGGTTTTGTTGCAGTCATACACTTTCCAGGACATGTTCCTGTTTGAGAAAAGCAGGCTCATCAGCTAAACACAGATACTTCTCTTGGTCTGTTGTCGAAATTATATCATGAGGGCACAAACTTGAAACGACAGGCCGTGATTGCTCTGCAAACAGAAAATATGGGTTAGGGAGGGGCAAGAGGCGGATAGATGACAGAAAGAAAGAACAATTAATGTATCAGCCTGTGGCTCTTCAGTGACACTTTAAATTTCTTTTTTGTTTTGGGGATACTGTGTGAGGGGAAACACATCTTCAGCAGTATACATTTGTGTGTAACACCAGGAGCTAAAAGTTTAGCTGTCTTCCCCTAGATTATTGTAACTTTGTTGTTAGTTTAAGCAAGCTGAAACATTTGATCAAAAATAATATATATTACAGTTTAGAAGTTTAATTGCATCCTTCATTAACAATGCTAACTTATAATTCTGACAATGCCAATCAGATTTCCAGCTGGCAATGAAGCATCTTATATTTGATCAGTATAATTTGGGATCTTCCTTTACTCCATTCAAAAAATATAGTAAATATATGACGCTTAACTTTTAAAATGAGACATTTACAGATGACAGTGTGAAAGTGTTACTATGTGCTTAGCCTGCATCGCCTCCCAGCTGTTAGGGAAAGCCGATTGTAGGCCGGCCCATCTCCGCACATAGCCAGCACGAGCTAGCAGGAGCTGGTGGTCTGGATACTGATTTTTCTGCTGGATCTGTGTCATGATAGCACACCGTGGGGAGACTTATCGTTCAGTGCTGCTCTAGTCACCGCTCAGGTAAGATGCAGCCTAGTCCGGGTTAGAGTGACCAAAATAAACCTCGGCCCTAGGGGGAGAGAGCTGGATAGTCAGGATTAACGTAGGCTAGCTAGCCTAGTTAGCTAACATACAGTTATCATTTATGTATTCGCTACTCTTGAAGCTAGCTCATGCTAACGTTACACCAAACACGCTGGAATTAGTTTACAGCAAACACCACGCGTTTCTATGGCTGATAAAGTAGATAACAGAGCTATTTAGCAGACCTCTTTAGGTTTTACGCGCTGCTTTAGTCGAATCAATGAGTAACCAGAGAGCTATCATCGCATGCTTGTTAACATTTTCTATGAAGAAACCGACATTTCCCAAAGAAGAAGTCGAATTGGCCAGCGGTGCACATGGTGACCTGATGATCTGACTCAAGTCCGAGCAAAGCCAAATGACACTGTTCAGTATCTGTGTTTATGTGCTACTACTGGTACTGTCTGGTTGAGCGATTAACTGAGCTTTCAGTGAGTCCAGGTAGGCTAAACTTTAAACAGGATAAGTTTCTTTGACGTGTCCGAGGCTTGCCAAACAGCTCTCATATACAGAGAGGGCAAACTCCAAAGAAAATTGTATTCCAGCAACCATAGGATTGGGTTATCTGCTGCAGCAATAAGTATGATAAAGGCTTACTTGCTTGGGAAGTACCTACTGACACTGTTAGTAGGACTGACTAACTCTGACTGTTTTTCTCATAGTGTGCTTTCAGTCTGAGGCTCTCTGTTCTGTTCTCAGTGGTTCCCATCAGCAAAGACAGAAAGCTCTTTTCTGATGGTCATGTCTTAGAAGTGCAGTTTGATGTTAAATATGTCTGAACAAGAGGCTGTTTATTATTGACACAGTAGTAATTAGTAGTAATTTTTTAAACTGACAGAGATAAACCACTCAAAGCTGACCAGCCCAGGACTGATGTTTATTGATTATATCACAAAAAGCCTCAGAATCTTCACTGTTTTTGTTGTCACAGTCACATGTTTTGTAATTATACGAGACTTGAGTGGATTATTAGCCCACCTGATAAACAAATAGAAAAATGTTGGATAATTGCAGTAGATTGCTACTATGTGTGCAAGAGAAACTGAGGACTTAACTGGATTGAGGCTATTTAGACTGCAGAAATCCTCCTCAACATCCTCACGCAGTGATCTATTAACACAGTCATTCAAGTAAGGGTCTGCATTAATGCTTAAGAGGTGAAGCTAAGAGACAGTTCATGCTCACGTTACGGTTACTTTCTCAATTTCACAATTCAAATCAAGAAAACAAAGTTCGTTTCAGGTAGAATAATAAAACATGTCAAGAGTGTTTTGGTGGCAATTTATCAACTGTCTGTCTTTATAGTGATTAAATACAGGCGTGATCCGCTCTCTTCTGAATTGATGACCCTCGCTTGGGCTGGGCAAAGCGGTGGTCAGTTTGTGCATGCAAACACTCGCCCACCAGTTTGTTAAGTTACATAAAGACGAGAAACCTCAGATGCCCCATTGATATTATTACATTATATGTCAGAGATCAGACTGCTCTTAAGCTGATTGTCTTATTTTATATGGATGGTTGACATTAAGAACCCTGACATTTGGCTTTAAAACTAAGTTGAGCTTAAAAGCATTACACAGAATTACTCACAGAGATGCAGATTTTGGTATTAGAAGTGCATGTTCACTTGGGTAATTGAATCTTCTCTTTCATTTTTTATGTCAAACAACATCTTCTGCGTACTTCTCTCCTTCGCTGGAGTGCATTTCAAGGTGCGACGTGTTTTTGATAGCTTTCATTAATATCTTTAGAAGGCAAGATTATGGCCAATATGATGATCATGATTATTTTGTTCAGCATTAAGGTCATGATTATTTGTCATAATTATTCATTAAGATCGTTGACAATATTTTTGTTGCACTTTCATGCATTTCATTTCACGTTTGTACAAATCTTTGTGTCAAAATAAAATTGGACCTACTTATTTATCTAAATTCAGTGTGTTTTTTAGAAGAAACATTTAAAAAAAAACTGTACTAAATGAACAGGCCACTGATTTCACTTTTGTGTTGCACCACATTCCTGTTTGTTAATGTTCACAAACCAATCTTTGATGACAAATAGTATGAAGTTTTTTACTTAATTCATTGCACCTGCATGATGGATGCGAATAAAACTCAAAGAACTAGATAAACCCTTTCTTTTTCCCCAGTAATGTTTCACATACTCGTCAGGTATTACTACTTCAAGAATCGCTCTTTTGTCCATTATGGTGACCGTTTTCCTGAAGTCTTGCTTACTCACAGTGTTTGGTGGACACACGCCTTTAGCCAAATGGAACGTGATTACTTTGATGATTTCAGTGTGCGGATGGATTTGCTGAGGCTCGGTAAAGGCTCGCTTTTAAGGATGGCTGAGTTGATGTTGGAAAGTTCACTGCAGCAACCATTGCACTATTTATTCATTTATTTTTGGCCTTCATGTCTGTGCATACTGCAGTTTGTGGTTGAATAAGTTGTGTTGCTGAATATGATTTATTTTTGATTAACCTCTCTAAAGTAGGGAGTAATTCTAGTCACTAGATGATTATCTGCTTTCTGCTGTGCCAGACATTTAAATATTTGTTGTGCATCAGCCATTTAATGAAGTGTTACACATCCAGACTAGTCCAGGAAGCTTCGAGCTGCCAGGTGCAGCTGCAGTTGGCTCATGCAGTCACATGTTCAGGCATTGATTTGCGGAGTGCTTGAATTAATTAATTGTTTTAATTGGTGGAGGATGTATTTTAAATTGTGTGAGAAGCCAAATGGCATTTTCTTGTATGTATGTAGAGGACCAGCCACATATGTAGTATGTCAAAGGTTGAGGAAGGGAGAACTCAAGCATTTGGAGGGACAGTTTATTTTATGTTTGCATCCTCAGACTCCAAATAGGAAGGTTCATACTTATGTTTCATCATCTGAGAGGGGGTCCCCTTGACCAAAGAAGTGAAAACACAAATGAAAGAGACAACACCACTGGCATCTGGGTAAAATATCCCCTTGCTTCTCATTCAAGCCTCATCTCCTGAGCTGAAGTCAGGGGTCTAATCTGTCAGCAGATGACCCTCCCGTCTCTGGATAGCTGGCGACGAGCTGGCTAAACAACAACAACAACAACAACTGGTTAAAAGCTAACGCTGTGTCAGCTAATGTTAGGCTTGAGTGTCCTAAAGATTGCACTTTCTCTCTGATAAACAGTGTGAGTACATTCTCATGTCATGTATGAGTTCAGAAATATTTGATCCTCTTCAAAGAAACAGCTGACAGACAAACAAAAACAGCAGCGCGTACTGACAGAAAAGTTCAGGACATTCTTAACAGCGATACTCGGTGTTGCTTTTATTGGGCAGAAGTACATTTCACTGAATTACATATTCCTAATAGACTCATTTTACAAAGTTTTAATCATTCAGAATAAATAGACACGGGCACATATTGACATCTGGGTAAACAACAAAGTGACACCCTGTACTCTCTACAGATGAACGGCGACAAGAGTGTTTGAGATGACTGGAGGGAAAAAATGTAAAATTCTAGAAAATATTTCATTGACACTTATCAGTTTTTCATTCCTGATTTCTTTCCAAGTGTCGATATTATTTAAATATATTCAAATTTAGTTTGTACAAAAATGTTTTTATGCAGCAACAGTAGAAGAAACATGTTCCCAGATGCTCTGCGTTTCCCCATAATGGCTGCTGTTATGGGGTACAGTCTAAACGTAATGTGTTTTAATGTCTTTGTCCTACAGTGGCTAAGATTATGCAAAAGTCTGATTACAGCAATTGTAGACTGTGAGCTACAATCTGCTGTAAGATTTTACACACTGTACTTTTAAGCACACATACATATATAGCTCAGGTGGTAGAGCAGGTCTCCTACTAATCAGAAGGTTGGTGGTGCAGGTCAAACATCTTTGGGCAAGATGCATCCATCAGAGTGTAAATGTTGGATAGAAAGAGCATAGAAAAAAACTGCTTGTGAGAATGGGTGAATTAGGCAAGTTGTGAAAAGTGCTTTGAGTGCTCAGAGTAGAAGAGTGCTATATATGAATCAGTCCATTTACCATTTAGTTTAGGGAAGGTTAGTTGAGGTTAATTTGATAGTAGATTAAAGCAGCATTTGCATCACCACAACTTGAAATGTTTTTCTCTCTGCTGCCTGTTTCCTTCTGATTACAGTGTTTATGCTCAAACCATCACAAATCCCACACAGTAGTGCAAACAGTTTGATGGTTTAAAAAGCTTTAAGAAGGACTAAAGACTGGGGTGGGAATATGGTAAAGTGTTGTAGCCCATGAAGGGGCACTACACTACTGAGATGTTTATTTACATCCTTTTTTTCTTTGCTTTATCATTTTATTACTTTTGTTTGTTATCATGAAAATCTGTGACTGATGATTTTCTCAGAGATATAGATGTGAGTTAAAAGTCTCTGTGCTATTATTTACTTTGACATTTCTTTTTCCTTTTGCCCTGCAGACATCATGTCTTCCCGTGAGCGTCGGTCAGATGTCTACATAAAGGCAGAACCAAGTAGTCCAGAGGGAGGCGGGGGAGGTCGGACCAGCCCTGGCGGGGCCTCCTCAGATTCTTCTCATAGCGGAGGCGGAGTGACCCGAGGAGACAACGTTAAACGTTACTCCCCGCCACTGTACACACCAGCTCTGCGTTGCCATTTCAAGGATGAGGGTGGCGATGGGGCAGAGGAGGGCTCCGCTGGAAATGGGGCAGGTCGATGCAAGTACGCCCTGAGCACGCTTCCCAAGAGGCTGTGTCTCGTTTGCGGGGATGTGGCCTCAGGTTACCATTATGGTGTTGCATCGTGTGAGGCCTGTAAAGCATTCTTCAAGAGAACCATTCAAGGTGTGTTGTGGTAAAGTTTGCTTTAGTGACAGGTAAAGCACTTTAAATGTGTTTAAATGTTTTCACAACAAAACATAGAGTATAAAACACGTATTTGTTTTCTAGAATACCGCTAAAACTTCTCATTGATTTTCCAAAAAAAAAAAAAAGCTATTTTGTCCCAAAAAACAAGAAACGTATGCAGTTTTGAAAATCTTTCATATTGTTGCTTGTTTCTGGGACCTTCATGAACTCCTGACATTATTTCTGTAACTTTCCAGAGAGTGTAACAAAATCACTGTCACACCTCTGTATGAGGATTGGTATAGTCGGAGTGTAGGACATAAAAAAAGAGGAATAGCAGAATGTGTGTGTGGTTGAAAGATAAGAGAGAGTATAGGCACTTGCTTCTTCGCGAATTTATTTGTACATTCGTTGAGATTAACATTTTCTGCTTCTTCATATAGGTAACATTGAATATAGCTGTCCAGCATCAAATGAGTGTGAAATCACTAAAAGGCGCAGAAAGGCTTGCCAGGCATGCCGCTTCACCAAGTGCTTGAAAGTAGGCATGCTTAAAGAGGGTGAGTGTGACCAGACTTTGATTATTATTCCAATATGTTCATTATTGTGCAGTTGCTTAGTTTATTGCTGACCTAAACGAGAACTGCTGATTCTTGCACAATGTAGGAGTTCGTCTGGACAGGGTCAGGGGTGGAAGGCAGAAGTACAAAAGACGCCCAGAAGTGGAGAATGCAACATACCAGAGTGCTCCTCTACCGCTGACAAAGGAGAGCGAAAAAAGTGAGCTTTGATAAATTGTATTATGCTTTTTTGTGTGTGTCATGAAATAGCCTTCAAGGAGTTTCTGCAAATGTGGCACAAAAGTTCCCTTCGAGTCAAGGATGCACTGATTAGTAGTCGGTCATAGGTCACCGTGGCAACATGAAACACTTTTTTGGCTATAACTCGTGAATTCTTACACTGATGGTGACTAAATTTCACAGAAATGTCTACTGCATATCACTAACAGGCAGAGCGCAGCCCGGGCCAGGAGTAAGTTACTCATGACAAGAAGTTGAAAGAAGATGAAAGATAGTGATGTAGAAAAAAGGGAGAAATACAGATGGATTTGGTTAATTTGGGAGATTTTTTTTCCCCTTTGCACTGAGTTAACGTTAAAATGTGGATTTATGTGTTTGGAAATGAACAATTTTCCCCTTAAAAATGTAAAGTTTTAAAGGAAAGCTCCTCAGAAAATAAAAGCAACACACAAAACATTTCAAATAAACTGGAATTAGCTACAACACAGCTCCCCCTAGTGCCTGATGTGGTTCACTGTTAGTCTTCACTCTTTAAATCAGCAGGTCAGGAAAAGCTTTGGCTCTGTAATGATTTTAATTTAATGTAATTTGACCTGGATTGTTCAAGCTACATGAATCTGGCTGTGGTATAAACATAGAATAATGATCATAAGCAGCAGGCAAAGCTGGCAGATCCTAAGCCTATTTTTAAAATCCATATTTATATACTGTACATAGAGCGCTGCGTATAATACAGTGAAGAGTAATGGAGATCATCAAAATATATCTGAATGCGTTTGTTTAGATAATGACAGTGCTGATGTTGTGGGTATCAACATGTCTGAATGTATACAGTAATTAATGCATCGTTTGTTGTGTGTTTTTGTGACAGATTCCTACAACATCATCGTGTCCCACCTTCTAGTAGCAGAGCCAGAAAAGTTATTTGCCATGCCCGACCCTCTGCAGCCGGACACGGCCCAGCGTACGCTCACCACCCTTTGTGACCTGGCTGACCGTGAGCTGGTTGTGATCATTGGCTGGGCCAAACACATTCCTGGTAAGAGATGCAGAGAGAATAAAGGAGGGGAGGAGAGGCAGCAATAGCATGGCAACAGCGGAAGAGACTTCCAGGCTCGCTGAAGAGCATCAGTCACACCATGACTAGAATATTGATTGTTGTTGTTATGAATGGCCTGCATGAGCGTGGCTCTAAAGGCTGAATAAATTTTAAGAAAATGTACAGTCAAAACAAATCAGTGTGCATTTAATGTCAAGAGACGAGGACCTTATTCTAAGAGCTCAGATGAAATTATTTATTCCCATATGAAGCTGGTTAAAATATCTAAACCATTATTTGGAGCTTGGTACCAGTAAACCCATCATCCTCCATTTAAATGTGTCCCTTTCTTTGTGCTTTCTCCTGCAGGCTTCTTGTCTCTGTCTCTGGCAGACCAGATGTCAGTGCTGCAGTCAGTGTGGCTGGAGGTGCTCGTGCTGGGCGTAGCGTACCGCTCGCTCGGCTGTGAGGACGAGGTGGTGTTCGCAGAGGACTTTGTCCTTGACGAGGAGATGTCACGTGCAGCCGGACTGACAGAGCTTAATGCAGCTATTAGTCAGCTCGCTCGCCGATTCCGTGCCCTTAACGTGGACCGGGAGGAATTTGTCATGCTAAAAGCCATCGCACTCACCAACTCAGGTACTTTTACTGCAGCTGCAGACAAGCAGCTATGGGAACATATAAATCAGAATTCAGTATTTTGACACATCCTTTACTCGCATCTTATGAAGCGTTTTGTTGTAGCTTGTAGTGGTAGGTGCACTGTAACACTGTATATTCCCAGTTTTAAAGGCTAGTCTTCTGCTTTCTTGCAGGTATCCGCACTGTAGCTGAATAACTCACAAATGATCTCTCTGTAGTGTAAATATGATCTCATAACCTTTATGTAGTTGTCCCTCAGAGGTCCACCTACAATGAGTGCTAACTACAGGCCCTGCTTGTTGAATAAATAACAACTGACATTAGTTTGTTTGTAGTCAATTACCGGGCAAGGCAGCCTCTCTTTCTGTGACAAAAGCTGAGAACATTTCAGCACCCTCCACACTCCCTCACCATGTGCTCCCTGTTGTTCTGTCAGACTCTGTTTACATCGAGGACATGGAGGCCGTGCAGAAGCTGCGGGACCTCCTCCACCAGGCCCTGCTGGAGATGGAATGTCAGCGGCGCCCAGACGACCCCCAGCGGGCAGGACGTCTTCTTTTAACGTTGCCTCTCCTCCGACAGACTGCTGGCCGTGCTCTGACCACTTTCTACAGCATCAAGACCCGGGGTGGGGTGCCCATGCACAAACTATTCCTGGAGATGCTGGAAGCCATGATGGACTCCCCCTAGAGAGAAACGCAGGAGCAGGAGTAGAGCGGATTCAGAGAAAGCCCCAAACAGAGAGCTACTCTTCAAGAGTGGATGTGTGTTTTATGGAAAAGGACAGCTTTCATTTCAGAATTAATAATGAGGAAACGATCATTATCTCCTTTAGGCCACAGGAAGAAAGGAAAATAATGTGAAGTGGAAATTGGCCATTTACAGAATGATGTAACTGTCAGAGTTCAGTAAAAAGCTCTTCACGTGAGAACATTTAACACAAATGCCAGAATATTTCTTAGTTCTAACCGTTTCACGGCATGTTTCTTCACAGCATCAACCTGCAGTTACTTAACCACTGAAGAACAACATGTAGGTACCGAATAACAGACTGCAACCATGTGGCTTTTGAACTTAAAAATAGTACTACATCTGCTCATGAAAAGCCATAATAACATACCCGGCAAAATGCTTGAGAGTCCAACAAGGGGTCAGAATAAAGTGCACACTAAGTGCTTGTATTTACTATAGTTTAGTGTGCCGTTGTAGGCAAGTCATAGGAATTTCTTGCAATATGTTAAAAGCAATATAACGACTCGAATATTGTCTGTCACATTCAAAATGTGGATCAAATGGTGAGACATCTATTTGTATGCCTCGATTAGTAGTACTTCACTCTTGGGACCCCAAGCGCTGCTTTTTAGAAAAAAACAACAAAAAAATCGAGCTTCTAGTAGAAACCGGTTTGGTCAGGGAAGCCAAATGAGTACATTTAAAAAAAAAAACAAAACAAAAAAAACATTTGAGAAAAAACTGCAGCACTTTGGGGATTAAATTGTGAAGCGCAAGCCGCTGGTGTGAGTGCAGCTGTCTTTTTACAAGTTTGTGCAATGGATTCACAGTCCAGGAGAAGTGTATATGAAGACTGTATGCACATAAAATGCTCCGCTTGGAAGTTAATTTATATGTAAAGTGTTGTATGTAAATCCTACTGGCACACACAAAAAAAGGCTTCCATCCAAGTAAGCATGTGTGTTTGTTCGTATGCAGTCGAAACCAATGAGCTACACTGAGATCAGGGACGAACACGGCTCTTGGACATTAAAGCTAGTGTGGCAACGAGCGATTAGAAAAGAAATGCCTCATCTGCTTTTTAAAAAAAAAAAAGTATACTGCCCTCTCTACTCCACTAGAATCACAGTTTTTGACTTCAGCAGGTGTGTTTTTGAAGAAAAAAAGAAAAGGTCTGTCCTGTTTGATTTGTGGGCTGTGATGTGTAACACTAATTTGTATGATTGATACGTGTACGTTGAGACATTGCTGCATTTTTCTGCAGTGGTGAAGAATGTTGCATAGATCTCAGATGCTTTTATATGAGATCAGCTGATCTGTTGAACTTTTGCAAGTGCCCAATTATGGGCTTAGGGCAACAAGAAATGCAACATCTTCCCTTTTGGATGTGTGGAAGTCCTGCTTACTGTTCAGCAGGTTTGTATATTTACAGCATAAATGATCACTGTAGTAAGCTTTCCATGCGATGCAAAGCTACAGTGTCGGATAATAAAATCAGATCCCTAAAAATAATATTTAGTGGCCAAAAGGGCCATTAATCTTTTAGCCATGTACAATTCCACTGAAATAAACAGAAACATGCAATTTGTAGTGGACATTTTAACAAAAAAAACTAACAAAAAACAAAAAAAAAAGCCAGCAAATGTGAGAAAACCACCCACCCCCAATTATAATTTTATTTGTGCAGCTCACAGTGTACTGAAATTTGTAAAGACTTGAAACTTGCTTCTTTTTTTTTTCTCTTTTTTTCATACAATTTCCTTTTTAGGATTTAAGGGTATTTTATTTACATTGTAAACACACTGTTGTGGGGTTGGATAAAGTGAATGCTGATTGTGTTTTTAATGTAAACAGGTGTGTGTCGTCTGAGGTTGATTGTGATTTTAGGGATCAATTTACTTGGCTCTATAGGTCCGGTGGCATGGTGAGGCTACAGAAGGCTACCTCAGGAGGCAGAGTAAGCCAGATGGCCAAAAAAAAACAAACTGTGGAGACAAATGTAACTCGTGATCTGTTGTCAGTTTTAAAAAGTGGGTAGTGGGCATACCGAATGTCCCGCAGTTCATTTGTTTCTGTTTTCTTTACGGAGTGTATGGCTCATAAATGCCTCGTGAGAGAAAGTGTGTGTGTGTGTGTGTGTGTGTGTGTGTGTGTGTGTGTGTCACAGTTGATGTGGTGGTAAAGCTAAAACAGTGCAACTGCTAATCCATGGGTGCTACATAAGCAACAGCTGGCACTGTGGAATGGGAAATCTGGCAAAATGTGACACTGATGGATCTGTTTGGTCTTGTTTTCATAAGTTTGAGCTTATATACGTCTGTCTTTTTAAAAAGAAAAACTTGTGTTCTAGCCATGTTTCTCAAACCTTTTTAAAGATAGCAAAAACATAGATGCCGCTAAGTTTCTCCATATTAACGGGTCATATATGCAAAGGTAGATTTTTCTTTTCTTTTTTTCACTAGCATTTTAGGTACGGCGGGGGTTAGGGTGGAGGGCCATTTGCAGTGTCACTGTTGACGTCATACAGTCATTTGTGGGTCTACTTGCATACGTGCGCATTAATATAAATAAGCAATACAATAAATTTACCAAACCTCACACCTTTCCTTGTATAGCCACGGTGTACATATAAGCATTGCCAGTTATAATTAAGAATAGCTACTAAACGGTATATTATTTAGAAATTCAAATCAATGTTTGTATTTTGAAAGACTATTTAAATGATTAAATTCTATTTTTTACTCAATTTACTGTTGTTTGTTGACACTGCTTTCTTTTTTTTGTGTGATACTGGCTGTGAATTTCTGTGTGTAGGCTATTTTTTTTTTTCCCCATTTAGATCAAAGTTTGATGTCCGTGTCTAAACTTGTCCACATAAAAATCACTGTGAAAAAAAAAGTGAGATCTTCCACTGTCTGACGCAAAAAGGGAGTGGATTATTGTAGGTGCTTTGTGTTGTGTAATAAATGGACACACCACCACCGCATACCATTGGTCTCATCTCTCCCTGTGGATGTGTATGCATGTGTATTCCGGGGGGAGGGGGGGTGTTTTATGAGGGTACTGTGATGAAGACCACTGTTGAAGCTGTAAGTGTCGTCGTATTTTTGACCATATCACCTTTGGACATGCTCTTAACTGTTGATGAATTGGACCTTGCTTTGCCCCCAGGTTTTCTCTTTAGCACCAGGGGGGTGAAGGCAACAGTGGTCCCAGTGGTAATTGGAGCACTTGGTGCAGTGACCCCCAAGTAGATCCCAAAAACAACATCCAAAGAGCGTCCAGAAGAGTTGTTGGAACAGCAAAGATCCTGCACAGGACTGTGGAGCTTGAGGTTCCTGTGCAACATCCCCCCTTTGTTCCAGTAGCCTCCTGACATGGATCTTGCTAATCCAGGCAAAGTCAGAGTCGGTATGGCCACAGCTATTTGTATGTATAAATATATATTTCATTGTAGACACTTTTTTTTAAGTAAATAGTGAGCAACAGGGACATATTTAATGGTTTATGCCGGTATTTATGGTGAGTTATGATAATATGAAGTGCAAAATTCATGCCCCTCTCCTCTGTAATTTTTCCATTCTCCAACGCCACCTAGTGACTTGGATTGGAAGATTTTTTTTTTTGGCCTCCAGGTCGTATATTTGCCCCCTTCCTTTATAAAATATATAGCAGATCCTGGTAATATGGGGCATAACGAAACAGAAATGTAAAATAAGTAAAAGAATAATTGTTAGTATTGTCTGCACAGCTTTATAAAAGTCTCCCATAGCCAATCATCATATGATCAACTACCTTTGGTCATGTTGTTTACATGTATCATATAGCCTAACTGGCAAATTGTAAGCTAATCTTGTAGTGGCAGCGTAGGTGTGCCTTTACATTTAATTAATTACTACAAAGCAAAAAATTACCAAGAACCTGAACAGGCTGGCGACCAGATTAAAATTTGGAAAGGGCCAGATTTGGCCCCAGGACCATGAGTTTACACATGCTGCTGACTCACAATATAAAAGTCACTATATAAAAGTTGTTGTGGAAATGCTGGATCTCCTCTCAACATCACTACTCTGTCTGTAATTCCCAAATAGAGATTTCTCCCCGGTATTACAGCATTTAGTAATTAAAATCAAACTTATTTTAACAGAGGCCCCCAGTACCCAAATCAGCATGATGAAAATTAATAATAATGGTAGAAAGCATCTCTTTGAAAAAAATTTTAAGAGGAGAGCTGTTTTGTTTTAGTTTTATCCCAGTCTCATCTGCTAACATGGACAGGACAGGGTTTATGACTTATACTGCAGCCAGACCCCAGGGACCAATAGAGATATGCTGTCACACATTTTAATTTTCAAACAGTGAATCAATACAGTTTGGCCCAGTGTTACAACAGAAGCTCACTCACATTTTTGAATAAATGTTTGTGGTTGATCCAAATAATGAAATAACAATTCAGTCTTTAATCATTTAGTATGGTTAACTACATTTAGCCCTGGTTAATTCCATTCGCACACACAAGGCTGTCTTTAAAGTCTAAAAAAACACATAGAAGATGTTTTAACAGATGCCAAAATAGCAGGAGCAGCTTAATGGTGGGCTAAATGTACTGTAGCATATTTTATACACGCAGTCAAAATGTGATGTGAGTAATGAAGGCGTTTGTGTCCCTGAAGAGCCCTTTTAGAGCCTGCTTTTAATTTGTCACAGCAATGGAAACACAGGTGTATAACCAAGGGCTGTGATCGATTTGGGAGGGTTGGCTTCATACACTGTGTGACTACTTCGCTGCTGTGGCTCACTAACAGGCTTCATGGAACCAAACCATCATTTTTTCTGTGAAAAAGGCCTAATAGTATAAAAGTATGAATATTCGCTCTGTGTGATACTGCAAATTTGGATACTGACTCAATGCCAAGTAAATGCAGGGCCAGTATTGCCAATACCAATGCTGACACTTTCAACCCATAAAGCCAGCATATAAGGTATATTTTTGTCATTTACCCCCTCCAAAAAATTACTAACACAATTCAGTGGGAATTTAGGAGGATAGAAACAAAACATCCATCCGATACCCATACCGTCACTGGTATTGATACAATCAATATGTGAACCATCTGCCCACACATATATAACATTTTCCTGACTTTGGTGAAGTCTTCCCTTGCATTGTGCAAAGTTATTTTTCTTTATCGGAACTGCTATAGCTCCACGGGCTACTTTCAGTCTCTAGCCCTAACTGTAGACATGTGGGTTTGCTAGCAGATGGCGCAGTAAATAAAGGCTTAGCGGGCCCAAATCTGGCAACTACGTACCTACAGCCAGACCTAATGTGGGACAGCAGTGTAGGTAACTGTACCCGAGGTAAGAGTGACAAGTGGGCTTTGGGCGTGTCCAAGCGGAAATTAAGGCAGCGCACACGGCACGATAAAAGCCCCACCAACCGCTTTCCTAATAGCTTGCTAAACAGCTACAATGCTCCCCGTGACATCCGCTGTACTCAGAAGTTCCCGTGTGCTCCAGAGCGCTAGACTACTGCACATTACTCCGACATCCAAAATGCCGATTCAGGTAAGGCTTGCGAGCGTTTCGCTGCCGGACATGCACGAGCCAAATGCGACTGTGTCAGTGCGTTTTACTATAACTTGCTAAATAAAGCGGTTACGTTGTTTATTTGTAGCTCACGATGCTAACTATCCGTGTGAATTCCGTCCCCGTGACAGCCGTTATCTTCATCATTATCGGTTGTTAATAACAGCCGTCCTGTCGGTGCTTGTCTCCGCACCTTCCTCCCCCACCTGTTAAACTCGTTTTGAGCGTAGCTTGCGTGTAAATCAATCTCACCTTCTCTTTAGTCGACTAGGCTTGTTTATTTTATAGATGCACACTCATGGTACTTTTTAAGGCCCGTCAAGGCAGTATTCCGCTATTTTCTTTTGTTTGTTTGTTTGTTTGTTTTAAATACAGCCAAAATCACGGCCAGTATATGTGCACCCAAGTATAAGTATATATGTTGTATTTGGGTCACTTGCAGCTTTTCTGAATTCACTTCACGGCCATGCAAATCGTTGCATCATTGGGTTATTTAACCCATTTTTTGTAGGATAACGTTACTCAAGTGCATTGCAGTTCAGATTATTGTCTCTTGTTATGGGTGATACGGCTTTTTTATGGGCTCAAATTGTGGTCATAAATATTTTGTACTTGAAAATCAGTTTTGTACTTGAAAATCAGTTTTGTACTTGGAAAATCAGTTTTGTACTTGGAAAATCAGTTTTGTACTTGGAAAATCAGGATTTGTATGTGGAAAATCAGGATTTGTGTGTGCGTAAAAAAAGATTTGTTTGTGGACTTAGCCAAAAAATACGTGTGAAACTCTGCACTCAAGTTTCAAGTTACAAGTACGAATTTTGAACCTATTTGGTCAATGTCATGTCAATCACAAATTTAACAATCCAATCAGAGAACCCCAGTGGCCGTGCAAGATCCTGCAAGCCTTGTTTATTAATAAATAGGAAGCTGAATATTAGATGGGTGTGTTTTTGTATCTATCGTTCGTACGTACGTAGAGAAAAACCCCTCTCCCTCCACTGTGTCATCCTGCAGCACTTCTGTGCAAGTGCAGGCTAAACGTAACACAAATAGCAGTGCATGCAATGTCCTCCAGAGACATGCACATTAGTATTGCTCACTTCAGTAATGTGAAATGTAGGTCACCATTGTTCTGTATTGTCATCTCGCCTCTCATCAGGTGGGTGAACATATTCCTGCAGTGGAGGTCCAGGAGGGGGAGCCAGGGAATAAGGTGGCTATGGATCAACTGTTTAAGGGGAAGAAAGGAGTCCTCTTCGCTGTACCTGGAGCATTTACACCTGGCTGTTCCAAAGTGAGTCCACACTGTTAACAGTGCCTGTACACATTGATAATCAGCTGACCTTATTAATTATTTTTTTTTTTTGTTTTCAGACTCACCTCCCAGGTTTTGTGGAGCAGGCTGCAGAACTGAAGAATAAAGGTATACAGGAAATAGCATGTATCTCTGTCAACGATGCGTTTGTCATGGCTGCATGGGGAAAAGAGCATGGAGCTGATGGAAAGGTAGAGTACAACTGAACAACCTGCATTTAGATGGCTTTTCTGAACAATTAGAGAGCTCTGTGACATGTTAGTCTTGGACAAAGACCTGGGAAATGGCCAAAATGAACTTTAAGGATGCAGTAATGCTGAGCTTATGGCCACTTTTCCTCTGCAGGTGCGGATGCTGGCTGATCCCACTGGAGCATTCACAAAGGTAAAAACCAATATCTGCTTTATATTCCAGCTCTACTTGAAGCTTTAGTGACTGACTATTAATTCATCTTTCTTTGCCTTAGGCAGTTGACCTGTTACTTGACAGTGATCAAATCGTGCAGGTACTTGGGAATAAGCGATCCAAGAGGTAACCTTTTTTGTTTGTCTTAAATTCCTGAATTTTATTAATAACAAGTTTGCACAGTAAGAAAGTTTATGCACTATATCCCCACAATTGTTCCCACAATCATTCCTGCCTTGAACATAATAAGTACTTTCTGTGCAGTTCTGTGTGCTAACAGTGTCACTACACAATAGTACACTTATGATGACACAGTATGTATGACACAGTATGTTGACTTTATAGCTGTCCAGAATCACTTTACTGCTCACTTAAGAGTGGAGCAGCGAGTGAGTGGAAATGCTTTTACATACGGCCTTTTGCACATTACCTGCTTTTGCACCTCTACCACTGCAATTGATTCATTGTGCAAAGGTTGCAGATAACTGCAGTGTTTGTGAAGTTTCTACTGATTTTTCAATCTTAATTCTGTCCATACTGATTAAAGACAAACTGCACACAACATAACTGTTATTTGTTCTGTTGGTCTTACCTAAACATGTGTATTTCATGTTGTTTCAGATATTCTATGTTGGTGGAAGACGGAGTTGTAAAGAAGCTCAATGTGGAGCCAGATGGCACCGGGCTGACCTGCAGCCTGGCTTCCAGCATTTTGTCAGCTGAATAAAAGAAGCCGCACACCCCGAGCTACTGTGAAAGTTGCAGTTATAAACCTACTTAAGCTTTCGCCTCCTCAACCCAAAGACTGATGCAAATGCCATGCTGGTGTCAGAAGCTGAGTTAGAAGATGATTAATGCGCACAACCATGACATGAAAGCCAATCCTAAGGACGGTGCATCAGTCTGTGTATACTGTTACTCCCTAGTTAATAAAATGCACACTGAAAGCAATATACACTGTTTTCTTTGCCTGTTTATTACAAAGTGTCTGCCACCTCAGCAACGTGTGACAGGCAAAAATGAAGACGTGCTTATTATAATTTATGATAAACGTGATAATCGAAATACCTCATTAAAAGTTGGTTATGCCCTAGAGGTTTGTCTGTTTATCCTGCGAGATCAAAATCAGGGGGAAATGACGTCACGCGATTTTTGACCTGAAGCCGCAGAGAGCCTGCGCATTGCATTGTGGTCGCCGGTGCTTATACAGAAATCGAAAGCACGTAGCTTTTCAGCTAACTACGTTAATATCAAGCTTGGACGGGAGACTAACGGGTAAGTTGATACGCAGCTGTGGGTTTTTGTTGTGATAAACGCAGACGTGCCCCAAAGGAAGAGGTTATTTGTAAATGAGCTTCATAGGAAAAATAAAAATTAGATTAGTAGCGTTAAAGCTTCATTAGCTCAAGTTAGGCTAATTTGTAGGCGCCTAAAATATGAGCCCCTGATTTCTAGCTTTACAGCATTAACTTGATAGTCTGTGATTATTTTAGGAGCAAGCCCTGGCTTTGAGATGGACATATCTCCCGCCAAGAAGCTGCGGCTATGTAGGGAAAAAAGCAGTAATATAAACTGGAAGCTAGTGAACTTTAGCTCGGTGTGCTAAAACGCTTAGCATTGAAATGTGTTGCGCGCGCAATTCAACTGCTTGTACTGCACTTACGTTAAGCAATCAGGCGAAATATTTCACGGGTGTAGTTGTGTTTGGTGAGTCTGACTAGATGCTACTCTGTAATGACGATCAGTTGGTAACCCCAGATGTTGAATATATTAGCATTAGCACTCAGAGCTCCATAAAATAAGTCATTGCTGTAGAGAAAGATACGGCACTTGTTGATATGTTCGCACTGTAGGCTTGGTTCATAACTAGAGTTGACATGAGTAGCCAAACATTAAACCATATCATGTTCAACTACTGTCTAAAGAAGTTTCTGTGCCGTCTATCAGTTACTGATAAAAATATAAGTAAAATTAGATTTGTAATTTTACGAAATATTCTTTCTTTTCACGAAATTGGGTAAGTATTGATTTCACTTGTCAGATCTGTTTATATTACCGTTTAGCACCTGCTATTATTTGACAGACTCCAAAGAGACCATGTCATCGACATCCCAAAAACATAAAGACTTCGTGGCCGAGCCCATGGGAGAGAAGCCAGTGATGGCTCTGGCAGGCATCGGAGAAGTCCTTGGCAAAAGACTGGAGGATAAGGGTTTTGACAAGGTGACTTGGTTTTTGATTAGCTTCTGCAGTGTGTTTATTCACACAGTAATTTTAAGTTATTTTACCTAGTAGGTATTGATTACTTTGAATAATATTGAAATAATCTTAACTTACAGCAGCAGTATATCACAGCTGACGCAAGCTTAACAGATTAGTTCTTATTTTTGGAAAACTAGCACAACTAAAGTTGTGATGTAAAGAAAAACAAGCTGCAGTTTTTCTTCTGGACATCTGTAAACGTTTGTTGTCGCAGAAGAGTTGTTCTCTTGTCAAATGAGCTATGAATTTGATCAAACACACCCAAACAAATACTCATCTGTGCAGTTTTTCAGGTTCAGTTAAAAACTGGATCTGCTCGTTATCAGAACAGATGTGGCTCATTCTTAGATACTCGCCCATCGGTCTTAATTACATTCTTGTGTTGTGTCTTCACATCCACTTCCACAGGCATATGTCGTCCTCGGACAGTTTCTAGTGCTAAAGAAAGACGAGGAGCTTTTCCGAGATTGGCTGAAGGACACTTGCGGAGCAAATGTCAAACAACAAGGTGACTGCTATGGCTGTCTTAAGGAATGGTGCGATGCCTTCCTATAAACATTCAGTCATTTGTTTTTGTACTTCTGAAGTCCAAGCTGTACATTACCTCTTCTGATTTTCTTTTAATTCAGCCCCTGCTTATAATATCCATGTGGCCCAACTATTGGAATACTATGTGTACTTTCTGTTCAAAATTTAAAAAATGTAAATTTCTAGTGTGTTCATTGTTGACAGTGCGTTAAGAAGTTACCATTTTAAGCTCATTATGGCAGTTTTAGAGGTAAACTCTTTTTAACTTCACGATTTGTTTTCATTTATTTCAGCACATTTCTTTCTATTTAATGTGATGGTTTACCTGTACAATCTACACTAACACCTGTAGTCACCTGATGCTTTTGGGCTGCTTGCACCATTTGCTTGTTTTTAAATGCTACTGGAAGGTTTGATATGAGTTGTCCATTTTTTTTAAGTAGCACATCATCACAGTTTCATGTACTGTAGTTCCACCAGCACTGCTTCAACGATTTCTTGATAAGGATTGTCTGTTTGGCAGAAGATTTGGCTAATTTAATGTGAAACCTGAAAACTAAACCTAAAAAAAGATTCAACTGACACTGGTATTTAGAGATTTATATAGATATATGTATGTGAAGTGTTTTATCTTTGTGTCTTGCAAATGAAGACACACCACAGTCCTACATCTAGTCTACTCTGAGCTTGTTTGGACTTGAAGATTGAAATGTATATAAATAAAGATGCCAATGTAACAAAACAATACTTTCAATAATAAAAGTGTCTCTATTGCTGGTAACTTAGATATTGTGTTTGTTAGAAAGCTCGATATCACAGCTAGTTGTGCTGCTAGTAAAAAAATGCAAACCTTCTGTGGAGGTCGTGAAAGCAAAGTTACGAGTTGGTGAGCGTCAGACAGCAGCCATCCTGATCCAAACCCACAGTGATAGATCTAGCAAAACCATGTTAGCAGCTAATTAAAGTAGGTTAAAAGTAGTAGGCTTTCTTTTCTTTCTGCAACTTACAAGCTGAGTAAGAGCAGAGAAACCCTCTTAATCCACTGTCATGTGACTTACAAATAAAATATCCTTTATTGGTTTAAGTGGCTTTAAATGAAAATCCTACACTGTGTGCATTTTGTTACAACAGTGAGCCTGATATTTAGGTCAGGTCTTCATAGCTGAGCTATGTATTGTCTTTGAATTTCTAGACATGAGATGCCTTAATGCATGTTACTTTAAACATTTAACTTGGTCTAAAGAAGTATAAAGTCCACAACACTGCATGTTCACACTGTATTCCCTAATCTTCCGTTCAAATGCTGAAACCCACCACCAGTTATCAAGCTGTATGAAGATGTAACCAGTGTGTAGCAGCTCTTTGTTATAATGCAGGCCCACGTGTTTGCATTTGACTGTGAAAAGGTTTCAGCTTTTCTATTGCTTTTATTATAAAACAATAAAAAGCAAGTATCACATTTGAACATGTTTTTTTTTTCCTGTGCATTTTATCAGAGAACACCCCAAGAGACAGAAAATGTTTGATGACAGGAGGCTTTATTTCAGTGCTTCGTTTCCATGGTTACCCTTTTTTCTGCCAAAGCTCCAGATATTTGCAACATGATGAAAATATGTCACTCATTTTTTTTTTTTTCTTTTTGAATGCTCCAAAGCAGGAGGGAGGCGTTTCCAAAAGTTCCAGGTCACGGACACGAGAAGAGCAGTTTTTCGTTTCCTTTTATGAAAGTGGTGTTGAAACTTAACAGCTGACAGTACTTTAGATGGAGAAAGTGACACTGGTTGATCCATGACTTTTCTGGAAACCACTAAGAACCCCTGCTCTGGAGATCCTCTGATCATTTAAAATAACAATGATGCACACTTGTCCTTAAAAGTACATTAAGACTGCTTCATTTACTTGTTTTTATTTTCATGTCTTAAAGAATTAGAAAATTATTATTATGACAGGCTCAGAATAACCGATTAGATGATCTTACTTCAGTGGCTTAGATTAGATGTTGAAAGTCCATAACTCCTGGAATGTGTTTGGGTTTGTGTGTGTGTGCTATTTAACTACAAAATCTCAATTTGACAGTGATCCGATGCACAGAATTGTTGCTCAAGTTTCACAGTAGCACCTATGCATACACACACGTCCACATCCACACTACGGCAATAGTATAGAAATGAGCAAAAAAAGAAGAGGCTAAAATCTTAATACCCTCCCCCACTCCCAAAACCCCCCAAATCAATTGCATGTGTCCAGTTGTAAACAAGTAACTGCCAAGACAGGGCTAAACAGTGAATGACGAAGGTCAACAATAGATTAGATTAGAAAAAAAATGCTGCTACTTGTTATGACCTCTGCCTACGAGTAGACAAAGAATGAAAATGTGTTTGATTACGCGGCATTAGTCTTCTCATTTATGGGGAATTTAAATGGGGAGAGCTGAGACATGTCCTCCATAATGCCGAGACCTAATGTAATTTAGGTTCCCAGTTTCAATATGAATCTGTTGCCTGTGACTGGTGGAGAAATAAGATACTTGGTGATCATGTTGTCCCTTCTGGCAGTTACTTGTAACCTATTTGAGCATGAGATGCATGTGTTTCCTTTCAGATGAACGCTCTTTGTTTTTCCCCCTTCCCTTGAGACTTTTAGCAACTTTGTGATTTTTCTAACTCTTTATTGATTAAATGTTAAATTATTCTTGTTTGCCCTCCTCTAACATTGAGACAGATGTTCGCAGTATAAGAATTTAGTTCAAGACATTTTGTAGTTGGTTATGTACTGTACATCGGCAGCTTTTATGCAACGTTACTATAGTACATTAATGTCTTATTCAGATTGGAAGTACATGTACATACTGTACATAGATGTACATACTGTACAGTTGTACTTTTTCATCACAACAATCCCTGATTTGTCTCAAAGCAAAGCGCAGAAGAACTTCTTCTCCCTGAAGGGGTTCTCTGAGGTGGGCACGGGGGTGATCAGGGGGTCGTCGCAGGCGTGTGCGTCGCAGTATGCCATCAGGTCGGCTGCTGCCTTTGATACCTGGAGGTGGAGACGATGGGGTTTAGAGCATTTAATTACATTTTTCCCCTTTACACTTTCCCCTCATCCCGCCTCTGAGTGGTCACAGTAGGGAGCTGGCTGATCCTGGTGATTTGCAGGTAATTT